TTTTAAAAATTTAAATTAATTACTTTTAGCATGATAGATAGGACAACATAATAGAAAAAGAAAAAAAAAAGAACACGAGTAAAAAACATTGCTTTACAAACCTTAAGACTTAATAAAAAAATTGATATTTTACATATGAAAGCATTGAAATGTTAACTGATAATCTGCCAAATTTTGTTAATAATCGCTTACTAATTTAAAAGTTATAGCATGAAAACTATAACAAGCACAAAATGGTTACGAGGTCGGTCCCAGGGACAGAGTCCATGCTGAAACAGTTAATTAAAGGAACACAAAATTTCTGTAAGAAAGCTAATTTCAAGGGGGTAATAATAACATCGTTTACACTAGAATTATGATTTTTTTAAATTACTATTAGTTATTAATCTGTAATAGTAAAAGGGCTTGTCTGTGAGTCTGTGTGTGTGCCTACCATAGCTTGAAGAAGAAAGAACATAGAAATCTGAAATTTTCCACACATACTAAGTGGACCCTGAGGCTGTGCACCTGAGTATTACTTATCTCATTCATGTGAGTGCAAGCATGTGCATCTTTTTATTGAGGCAAGCTAGCGAAAAACCACAATATATAACAACTTATAATATATAGAAAAGCCAGTGCGTTTTGGTAACAGTTGCATTTCACCAATGGCTTTTATGTCATGTTGCTTAGCAACAAAAGTATATAGGTTATACTTTAATGCTTAAACAGATTCAGAATACACACACACACTATCAACCTAATAACCCAAATGAAGCCGGGCACTTCCGGTACTAATACTTATAAAAGCACATATTCCATTTGAAACTATGTCACCTCAGTGAAAATAGTTGACATCATTTTTTTTGGACTTATCATATAATAAAAAAGAAGCAGAAGAAAGAAGAACAAGAAATTCAAACTTTGATATTTACAGACATTCCTAGAACTTGTGGCTCACTTATTACATAGATATTGTTATAAAAGGAAACACTGTGAAGTTTTAATGACCTATTGAGGAGATATTTAAGATACCATTCTGATGAACAATCTGAGTCATTCCTACATAGGCAGTGCTACTGCCTGCCTGAGAAGAAATAAAACTCTGAACTTAATTTAATGTAATCAAAAGTGTCTTAATTTATCACTGAATAGTTTTTTATACTGCAAAAAAAAAAAAAAAAAAAAAAAAAAAATAAAACTAATTGTTAGGTTAGTAATA